TTTTTATTTTGGTATTAAAAAATTGTAGACTGTGCTTGAAAATCCTGTGCAGGTTCTCCTCTGCTTCTTAAATTCTATTTGATCTGGAGTGTCACTGCCGGGTTTCATTGCAAAGGCAGGTTTATGGGGGAAAGTTTAAATAAAATTATTTTGTCTCTTAAGATCTCTTCACAGAGAAGACATTTTCTTTTTGTGTTGTTGTATGTATGTTCTGCCTTCAAAATCTTTAAATAACTGCTATTTTCAGAGTCATGTGTTAGAAATAAACATTTTAAAAGATGGTTGAAACATTTTGAGTATGTGATTATAGGGAGGTAGCAGGGTTTTGCTTTTGTTTGTTTGCTTCCTTGAGAAACATTAATTGCTGTGCCTTTCTTCTCTTGGATGTTGTGATTACTCAAAGGCAGTTAGGAAACTCGCTTTCCATCTTGGTTTTTCTGTTTCCATTTGCAGTGAGGGGTCAGCCTGCAGTGTGCGCTGGCAGCTGTGCTCCACACTGGTGTTCACACTACTCGTCAGTACTCCGGGTTGCCTCTGCTCTTTAAATGACTCAGTGTTAGAGTCAGAATGATGAGTCCCAGAAGACATCATGACTGGCTCCCTATTTTTGGTGATGGTTTTTATTTAATTTACTAGGTCCTATTATGTAGGCAGATATTAACAACTTGAGTAATGTTAAAGGAATGTTAGTTCTGAACATGCCATTTTTACAAGAAAATAGTTGTGAACTCACTAAAATGTTAATTTAGTAAAGTTAAACAGATTTTTTAAAAAATTTTATTTATTTATCTTTAGAGGGGAAGAGGAGAGGAGAAAAATACCATTATATGGTTGCCTCTCATGAGTCCCCTGCTGGGAACTGGCTTGCAACCCAGGCATGTGCCCTGACTGGAAATCGAACCACAGTCGTGTGGTTCGCAGGCCCGCGCTCAATCCACTGAGCTACACCAGCCAGGGCTTAAACAGATTTTTTTAATACCTTGCTCCTCTTATTTTCTACCCTGTATTTTTGCCTTTATAGTGGGAGATTATGAGCTATTCTAAAAGGCGAAAAATTAAAATTAAACAATAATAAAATAAAAGGAACCATTTATGGAACACTTTCTATATACCTGGCATACTGATGATTGGTTGTCTTATTAAATTCACCCTAAAACCATATAAATTCGGTGATGTTATCCCCATTTTCAGGTGAGATGAAAGTTCAGGAGGTTAAATGACTTACATAAAGCCAGACTGTGGTTAGATGGTAAGAGCAAGAATTTGAACAAAGCTCTGTCTGGTCCAGGTACAAAGTTCTCAGCCACTATATCACATTGCCTCTGTCCTGCTTCTGAGGGGTAGACCTCTCAATAGTTCTTGAGTAGAAGAAACAGTGATATCCTTCTCTTGTTTGCTTTGGTTGCTCATTTGTTTTCTGTGTCTTTCTTCTGTCCAGTGCATAACGTACACTCAATAAATATTTATTGAATGAACAAGTGTGTACTACTAGCCATGGAAAATGGAAGTGAACTGATACTTATGTGTATCAAGTTTTTGTAAGTATATGCTGTATTTGTAAATAGCAAAGTATATCTTAGACTAATATTTATCAGGGTTATTTGTAGCATATAGAGATAATTGAATAAGAATGAAGCAGTTACAGTCCCATATGATTTCTGGAAGTTATCAGTGGTCTGAATGCTCATCTCTCTCTTCCTGAATGACCTCCCCTGCTCCTGGTGTTGGCCCTCCTCATTCCCACACTGCTGTCAAATACTCTTTCTCTGTTTCTCTTTCTCTCTATCGTCCATCCCCTAAGAAATTGCTATTTTTACACCTTTTGCTTTTGTATATTCGTCTTCCTTTGGATGGAATTTCCTTCCTCATCTCTTTGGTGACTTTTTTTTTTAACCATTGAGTTCTTGGCGCATGCGTCTTTTCTGACTCCTCCAGACCCAGCTAGGCTGCTTATGTGTTCCCTTCAGAGCACGTATCATGCTGATGAATCGAATAATTGGGTGTAAATCTGTCTGTGTTTCTTTGAAAGCTTGTATAATAAGCTCTGTGAAGGCAGGCACTTGGGTATTTCATTTGTCTGTGTCACAGAGCCTTGTCTATAGTTTGCACCCAGTAAGTATGGAAAGAGAAATGAAACGATATAAAGGGTATAGCTTGTGTAGTCCCACCGTAAATTCTAGAAACCCATTCCTTCTTGGAGATGGAGGACACCACATCGGTTCCAGCCCCTCCTTTTTAGAGATGAAGGTGACACCCTTAGGTCGTACAACTAAATAATTAGCAGCACAGCTAAAAAACAGGGCTCCTGAATCCCAGCCCTGTGTCCTTTCTTTCATTGTTTTTTGAGAAAAAAAATTTCTTTGTTTATTTTAAAGGGAAGAGTTATTTAGTGTAGAAAATGTAGAAGATAACAGGTAAACAGCAGGGAGAGAGAAAAATAAAATCATCTTATTCCCATCACTCAGATAGTGGCTGTTCTTCCCCTCTCTTCTGTGAACGAAGACATATTTATGTATGTGTTACATAATTGTGTTATGACAACAGCTTGCATGTACTGAATGCTTATAGACTAGGCGCTGTTTTAAGTGTATTAACTCATTTATTACAGTAACCCTTTGAGGTGAATACTATTATTCCCACTGAATGGAGGCAGAGAAATGTTAAAGATCTCAAGGTCACACAGCCAGTAATTTGCAGAGCCAAGATTTAAACCCAAGCAATCTGGCTCTAGAGCCTGTATTCTTAACTATTCTATTCTGCCTCTGTGTATAATATTTCATAATCTGCTTTTTAAAAAGTTGAGATCAATTTATATATAACAGTGGTCACCCTTTTTAGGGGTGTGGTTCAGTGGATTTAATTTTTTAAAATCCTAACTTGAGGATATGTTTACTGATTTTAGAGGGAGGGGAAGGGGGAGGGAGGGAGAGAGGGGGGGAAACTTTGATGTGAAAGAAACCTATCAGTTGCCTCCCATATGTGCCCTGACCAGGGTATGAACTTGCAACCTTTTGGTGTGGGATGACGCTCCAACGAACTGAGCCAACCTAGTCAGGGCCAATGAGTTTTGATGAACGCTAAACCACCATCCCAATCAAGATATATAGAATGTGTCCATCAAAAAAGTCCCGTCATGCCTGTTTGTAGGTAGTCTCCTTCCCCATTCCCAACTCCTGGCAACCTCTGGTCATATTTCTGCCCTTATAGTTTTACCTTTTCCTTAATTTCATGTAAATGCAATTATTCAGTAGTAGCCTTTTGTGTTTGTCTTCTTTCGCTAGCTTTGGGGGTTTGTATATGTTGTCTGTAGCAGTAATTGTTTTTTGTTTTTGTTTTTGTCTTTTTAGTCACTAAGTAGTATTTCATTGTATGGATATACCACAATTTTTTGTTCTGTTCACAAGTTGAAGGACATTTGGGTTGCTTCTGGTTTTTAGCAATTAAAAAAAAGCTGCTGTGAGTATTCATGTACACCTTCTTATGTGGATGTGTGTTCTAATTTCCTTTTGTTTAAATATCTAGGAATATGATTTACTAGGTTGTATGGTTAAGTGTAAGTTTAACTTTATAAGAAACTTCTGAACTGTTTTCTAAAGTAACATTACTATTTTGTGTTGTCCCCAATAATGTCTGAGAGTTCTGCATGCTCCTCATCTTGGCCACTGATTATTTATTAGTAGTATAATATTTGTATTCTAACACTAGCCAAGCATATAACAAGTCTTCATGTAACATTGCCAGGTGGGTTCTGTGGCCTTACGCCAAATGGTGTATAATGAAACCAGTCTTACATAGGCTAATTGATAGAAACAAGAGTTCAGTTCCTGTGACATCTCGTCAATTTTGTGATGAAAGGATGTTATTTTGAGGACCTCCTGTGATAATTATTTTAGTATGGTCTTGTTGTGGAAAGGTGGTGGTTAAATTAATGCTTTCTGATGTATATGTTTTCGTTTTCCTTTTTCTTATCCATTTTACAGATATTCATTGAGCATCTTATAATGCAGGTGTGGGGCAGGTGAAGATGACCAGCTCTATTCTCAAAGCCCCCTGGTTGGCCCTTTGGTTGGGAGCTGTGGTAGATGGTGGCAACAAAATTGATTCTTATACTTTACCTATTTTTCTACTGGAATGAATTGTCCAGTGTAGAGGTTTTTGTTTCCATGCCTCTACACTATATGCCTTGCTCAACTTCAAGTGCTGAAGAACCTTGCGAGAAGAATCTGGTGGCACATCTGGCTCCAGCTGTGCTACCAGCCTTATTATCCACCACCACCACCCCCCATGGTTAAAAATGTCGGTGAATGTTGTGGTGACAGCTTGTTTCCCTAATTAGCTGGATACGTTTTTCAATTCATTCTGTTAGTGTAGCTGCCCTGATTGCCCACCTAGTGATTTGAGTGGTGGGACTATGATATCTAAGGAGTAAAGTCAGATTGTGAGGTAAGTTGAGGTCCACAAGATAAAGGCATGAATCTCTGATTTTTGGCGGGCTGATGCTCTCATTGCAATCCACGGTCTCTGACCCTAACCAGCATCTTTAAGAGCCTTTCTTTTCTTTCTAAATGAAAAAATCACATATGTACCAAGCTATACATTTTTTAGAGATTTTGTCAGCAAAATATTTGCAGATTGCTAAGAGCGTCTGTTTATTCATTTGTTCATTTATTGAGCACAGTTGCCAATTAACTATTGTGTTTAATAGTACTTTTTTCAATGCAGTGTTATGGTTTATTTCACAGTAAATTCTTCTTAGTTTTTCTCTGTACCTCCTCCTCTTCTTAGTTTGGTATCTTTCATCTATAAACATTTAAAAAACAAATGCCAAATGAAATAAAATAGTGCAGTGTTTTAACTCTTTGTTCCTCTTTGGTGCAGACTTTGCACAAGAAGGGAAGGAGGCGAAGGAGAGAAGAGGGAACCTGGTCATGTGATGCTGCTTGTCTGGCAGAAGCCTTTTAGTTCTGAGCAGAGAAACCAACTGTTTACTATTTTGGGTGAATGAGGTTGGTTGGTGGTGGCTGCGAGCATTTTCTCTAAGGGAACCCTCTTCTCTTCCAGGTCTACACATTGAAATCAGTCCTGCCTTTTGGCATTTGGGTAGAGGAGGGAGGTGTCTGTGTCGGAGGCCCAGTGCTGACAGGAAGAAATGTTTTCCAGGAGGCTTACTGATTCTGACCTTCTGCTGTCACTGCTTTTAATGCCCACTCCCTAAGGAAACCTGGGATTTAGCTGTTCTTGCAACCCTCAGTGCTGCAGAAATGAAGTACCCACTTTAACCTAAAGAACAATGCTAATTAGATCTTCAGCAAATACTAAATGGCCTCTTTAAGGAGTGAGGGAAGAAAGACGGGTTTATTGCCACACTGGCCTTTGGAGTCTCACATCTCCCCCAGCATACTGGAGGAGAAGACCAAGAATCATCATCACACGTGCAGGATTCTGCCCCTCTCATGGATTGTCCTGAAGCCGGGAAAGGACAGCTACTCGGCAGTGTGCCTGGCCCCTTATCACAGTTTGCGGGAAGGTTGGCATATTTATCTCTTTGGGATTTGCATGCTTTTTTTTTTTCTCCTCAGCTTACTCCTGTCTTTTATCCACTCCCCATTTCTCTGTAGCCATCCAAGCTTTGACTTTTGGTGGTTTATTGTCTCAGTGTTTTTATTAAAGCTGTTTGAGCACTGAACAGATACATAACTGGAAATGGTACTTAAGGGTATATTTCATGACCTGATTGTACAGTATTCAGGACTTTTTACTTTCTTACTCCTCTCTTTCTACCCATGCAGAGCTCATATACCAAACTGAGACTATGGAAGAACAATGGAAAACTTTCCTTTAGTAGGATGGGATTCTTCCCCTTTATATGGGTCCAGTACAGTGTTTTGTCAATAAAACATACTTTGGCCGTAGGTACAGTACTATACAAATAAACAGGGAACTATTGATTATGACTTCAGTTTCTTCTGTGCTAAATACTGAAAGTGAATAGATGACCTCTAAGGTCTTGTAACACTAAGATAACATAATTTTTACAAAATTTTAAACAAGATTTTATTTATTTTTTAGAGTGAGGGGAGGGGAGGAAGAAAGAGAGGGAGAGAAACATCAATGTGTGGTTGCCTCTCACATGGCCCCCAGTGGGGACCTGGCCCACAACCCAGTTGTGTGCCCTGACCAGGAGTGGAACTGGAGACCTTTCCGTTCTCAGGCTGGCACTCAGTCCACTGAGCCACACACCAACCAGGGTGATAACATAATTTAAAATAAAATAACATTTGGAAGCCTTTTTACTTATATATATGTTAGTTTTGGTTAGAGTGAACAGTTTGGACTGCCCTTACCAATCTTTTTAGTAATTGTAGAATTACATTAGAATTTCATTTAGTGGTATGAAAGATAGCTAGAAGCTCTTAATTAGATTTAACATCCATAAAGGAATTTTCCTTTATGAACATCCCTCTTTTGTATTTCAAAACTGCAAAAAAAAATACATGGATACATTTGAGTTCTGCAAAAAAGTTCAGTTTTAAATTTGAGGAAAATTCTTTCAGAAGAGTTCTAGGTTATGGAAAAAGGGGGGATAGGGACTTTATCCAAATTCTATTAAATGTGAATGGAAAAGAATTATCAGCATTTTTCCTCTCCTATCTTGGATACCCTCTATTATCCATTACCAGAATTTATATGTATACTTATTAGTGTTGATTACATAAATTCTACTTTTCTAAAAACTTAGACAATTCTTTTTAATTTTTGAGCTCTTTTGGGTCTTTATGAACCTCTGACAAGATGATTTGAGCATGTGGAATTGGCAGTGAAAGAATCCACTGAAGAGATGAATGGTCAATCATCAGTGCTCAGTTTGCAAAGAGAATAATTTACAAAACTGGTTGAGAGCAGTTGATTTTTCTTTGAATATGTGGATATGTTCTGCACTGATGTCTAAGAAACAGCACAGCAACAGAGAGGGAAGATTGTTTGAAAACCAGAGAGGTAGTATGGCTTAGGACTTGTATCTTTGGGCTGTTTGTTGCTGTTGACTTTTTATAATCCAAAGGAGAGGGTCGTAGTGTTTTAGAGTCTCAATCTGAGAATTAAGAATATCTTTGTTTTCCATGTAGAAGTGCATAGGAATTAGAAATGCAGACTTTTCAAAAGTAGGATCAAAATGGTAATTATGGACAACTACTGTAAGCAGTTGACTGTGTTTTTATGTTTTTCTTTCTGTGCTTATAACCTGCACTTAGAATCTGAATGTCTACTGGATCTTGAGAAGACTCACTTTATGTGTTCTACAAATATAAATACATATTGTTTGTAAATTGCACAAAAGAAATAAATTATGCATTAGGTAGTGAAAGTATAAAGGATGTCTCATGTTACTTCTTTGGGGCCAAAGCAGGTTTTTGAGGGATAAAGATAAGTTCCTCCTTCAAAAACTCAAAGATGCACAGACAGTGGAAATGAGTCTTCTTAGTCTTGTGTTTTATTATTATAGATGAGTCCCTAACAATCTTATTCTTGTGTAGTTTTCTTAGTTCTGTCTTTTTTTCCTAATTAAAAAAAAAGATTTTAAAGGCTGGCACACATTTTAAAAAATAATTGTTTAGGATTATTAGGAGGCCACGAGCGATACTTTTCTCATTGTTTTAGTTGATAGTTGGAAATGCCCAGAAGGATAGGAAACAAACTTTAAAATTTACCTCTAATGGCATTAGGACCTATGGTTTTTCTTAATAATAGACTTTGGCAAGGATCAGATATGCATTTTTTACGAAGAGTGAGCCATGAAAGATTGATGTTTTGTGGTTTAATACAGCTTTCTGGTGCGGCATGGCCCAGGACTATATCTGTACTGTCCAGTACGATTACCAGTAGCCACATGTGGCTGTGGAGACTTGAAACATGAATGGAGTGACTGAGAAACTGAAGTTTTAACTTTGATTAAATAGCATATGTGGCAAGTGGCTACATTATTGGATAGTACAATTCTAGACCCTTCACAGTCTGATTTAGCCAGCCTTTCCAGCTACTTTCCACTATCCCCTTTCACAAGCTTAAGGCTCCAGCTAAATTGGAGCATATTCATTATGTCCTTATAGTATTTCCTACCTCCAGGTCTTGGTTCATGCAGTTCATCCCTGGTTCGAGAAGTCTTTCAAAGGTGATTTATATGCTACTGCTCCCATGAAGCTTACCTAATCCTTTTTGTATTCTGGTAATTTATTATATCTACAAACTCTTAAAGCACTAATGTCACTGTCCTTATTACAGTGATTTATTTTACATTTCTGATATTCTCTGCTATATTTATAAATTTCTTGAGGAGCTTATATAGTTTTTATGGTTGTAGGTGTGTGGTAGACTTAACCTTTTTTCTTACCCCTTCCCAAGTGCTTAGCAAAGTGTGTTTGTTTATACATAGTAGATGGTTAATATGCATTAGCCAAGTTAGTCTACTGAGGTTACTGTGCTTCCTGACACTAGAGGGCAGTATCATGCCCATAGCAAAATGTGTTTATCCAAAATGACAGATATATTGAGTCTCATAATAATTCTAGCCTTCATAAGGAACTCACATCTCTTATTTGTGAGTGTTAATAATGAATAACCTTTTCCCATAATTTTCTTAAATTAGATTCAGAATATGATGCTGAAGCAGGAAGTTGGTGAGATTCTTACTAAGAAAAAACTTGGTAGATTGGAGAAACACCAACCACAGCATTAGTCAGGAAAGAGTAATTCCTTCGGGAAAGAAGCCTTTTTCTGATAGGTAGCTCGTGTTCCAGTGCTGAGGTGATAGTCAAGAACCTGAAGCTCTTGCTTTGATCTTGCCATGGTGAACTTGGCTATGTTGTTTTAAGCTTGGCAAGCCAGTTTCTTTTGTTGTATAGTGGGTGTGATGTCTGCCATTCTAATCCATAGGTTCAAATAGGGTTTCATGTGTGAAAGTAGCTCTGTAAAGTATTATATAAATGTATGGATTGTTTTCCTTCTCAATTCCTACCTTATGCCTTGTACCAGGGAATATACATAGTAAGTGATAGAGTATAAATATTTTTGACATTAATTTTTTTACATTTTAGGTAAAGAGTATACTCTGTTAAAGGTTGATGAGAGATAAATTGATAGAATTACTGCACACACTGAGAAGTGATAATAGTCACAATACTTTGGTTAACACATATCCTGTTCTTTGATGTTATGCAGCCTTAAAGTGAACTGTATGTGATGTGTGTGTGTAAATTATATAGAGTTTAGACTCTTTGTTGTCCCCTCTTTAGTGGATTTATTTTTTTATACCTTCTACACTCCTTAATATTAACTTAAAATATTCAAAATGATCTAAGTATTGTGAGGTTTCTGAACTCATTATAGAAAACCAGATTCAAATACAATTACTTAGCCAAACTGGTGTAGTTGGAAAATATGCACATTTTCCTGCCAGTTTTGTGGGTTAGAAAAGAAGCAAGCCATTCAAAAAGAGAGTGGTGTAGTGGTTGCTTTTTGTTGAAAACAACCATCAGCCTGAAGCCTTCCCTTGTAAATCATTAGATACATCAAATAAAATATTCAGCTGAAGTTCATGCAATCTCACAGTTACCAAACACTCTTGCCAAAGAGAATTGCAGTCATAATATCTGCAATCGAATCATTTCCTGTTCAGGCTTGCAGGTGGGGAGCTAAATGAAACTGCAGTTCTCTAAGATTAGTTATAAAGAGAATGGGTTGCTGGGAGAGGTCTTGATGATATTAAATAACACTCTAGCAAATGTGGGGATAGAGAAGGTACCCTAAGATACTGGAACTAACCAGACTTAAGGAATAGATCAGGCTGTGCAAGCCCACTCCTGTGGGGTGATCTGTTTAAAGCTCTTCTGTGGCACCAGATATGTGCTGATCACACTTGGGCAGTGGGCCAGGCAGATGGCACATTCCTGCACCGACCTTCGGAGGCTTGCCAGGTTACAAAGCTGGCATTAGAGGCATGGCTGTTCTCTGGCATGAACAACCCAGACAGCCTGCATTTCATCTAGCATTTGGTCCTCTCCAGTTGAGGGGATGCCTTGGAACTGGTTTGGTCTCTGAGGCCACTCAGGAGTTGGCATGTATTCTCATACCCCTTGCCCCTGCCCTATCTTAGAGTTGATTTTTACTGTCAGCATAGCCCCAGAACTCACTCACACCCTCTATGTGATTCCTCCAGACTGGGGATGACCCAGAGTTAACCTCTGAGATGCCACTACTCCCCTCCCTTCTGACACCAGTCCGTCTTCATTGACCCACATTTTTAGGTTTGACTAAACCTTCCATCAGAGAATAGGTAGGGGCTAGGCAAGTTAGGCTGCAACTTGTCCCTTCATTTGCTTCAGTGCATCCCTTTGCACTGGGTAAAGGAGGGTTGGGTGTGACCCACTCCTTAGGCTTCACGTTTTCTCTCTGCTCCTTTCCTGTTGCCCTTTTGATTTTTTAGAATCTGATACTGAGCCTCTCCTCCCCCCACTCACACCCGATGGAGTCTCC